GGCAGGGTAAACGTGTAGCATTTGTATCTACTGGAGCGGTGATGACTAGAGCATTAGTAGAAAAAGCGTTTAAGTTATTTAAACCCGATAATTCGCCTATTAAAGCCCGTGCATACTATGGGGATATGGATGGAAAACAGAGACAAAAAGACTTTTCTAATATTAATAATGTCTGGGGCGAACTTGACTGTATAGCCTATACAAATACTGTGGAGGCAGGAATATCATTTGAAGTTACAGGCCACTTTGATATAGTTATAGCTATTACAAACATTGCCACTCCTGTTCATGTTGAGGCCTTTGCACAAATGCTTTATCGAATTCGCGACTGTCCTCGTCGTATTATTTCCATGTTCTATCAGAAAAATTTCAATGAGCTTTTTCGTCCACCAGGTCGTAAAAATATTCGAGCAGAACTTGAAAGTGCTCGACCTAATAATTTACCTACAGCAATAAAAGGACATCGTGAATGGAATAATAATACCATTTCTTATAAAGTTGATGAGTCTCTAGCTGTAATAACATTCATTGAAGTTGAGCATCAGAAACGCCTTTCTGCAAGATATTTTATTGAGAAGCTTTGTAGTCTTATAGCCAGTACTGGTGCTTCTCTCCAACTAATAAAAATGGATGAGACCCAAGGAGTTATAGAGAACTGTAAAAAAATCCATAATGAGGTTAGAGTTGAAGCATTAGTTATCAAAGAAACAGATTTTAACGCAGTTGCTACTTCCCGGAATCTTGGTCCTGAAGAAGCTGAAAATCTTAAGTTTGACCAAGAACGCTCTATCCCAGATACTATGGCTCTTAAACGTTTCTATATGCGAAATATTTATAGCTGTAAAGATATAAGTACCGAAGATTGGGATAATCTTTGCAATAAGAAATTTGTAGAACGTTTTAGTCCATCTGAACCTCAGAAACATTTTCTGTGCTTATCTTATTTCCGGAAGCAAGGTTGTGATGAAGATAGTGCAATAGAAGGTTTGGTTGCTAAAGACTTTGCACAGTAGAAGGATACCTGTTATAAAGCTGAAGAGAATTTAGAAAAATCAGTAGCGGAGGATTTACATAAAAACTATTCAGCAAATTATTGGAAAGTAATGCAGGAACTTTTTAAGATATTGGGCTTTACAGGTATAGATGACAAGCGTATCCTTCTTGGTAATATTGTATCAGAAACATTTACACAATCCTATGAGAGATTTATAGAAATCCGAAATCAATCCTTACTACTCTTTGGTTTTAAATCTTATGCTAAAGCAACACCAAATCTTAATTCAGCTATAAAGGCAATCAATGCAATCGCTGGTAATTGGTGTGGCTATACAGTTAAAAGCAATCAGAAAAAAATAGATCCCAAAGAACGGCGTGTTTGGGAATATTCATACAAAATTAATCACTAGGCATATGATGGTCTTGGTTTTGAAGATAAAGGCGCACCAGAACTTCCACCATATAGGCTAAATACAGATAACGAGGTCCAGGAACTCTTTGATTCTAAAAGATAAGAAAAATCGTTATTCAGCTAGGTGTCTCGATCATATCTGATTCTATTTTAACTTTTTTACCTTCACGTCAGGCTTTCTTATAAATTTCGCTATGTGAGCTACAGATTCCAGTATCGGAATATGTTAGTTCATTACAGATAGGGCATATTGTTTTAGGACAGGCTTTATAATGTCTGGCGCATCCTAAATCACTCATGCTCCCATTCCCACAAATCAAACTATCTTTCTTGATGTGTTGGCAGGAAAAACGTCCTATACGAGATAATTTTTTGATATTAATAATCTCAAAACTTCATCTTCACTTTTATTATAGATATTCAAAAATGCGATGTCATATTTCTCAAGATATAATCGAAGAAATGCGTATCTGGTTCAAAGAACTGGAGTCATTATAGTGATAACTACCCCTCTAGCTTGGTCAGATGGAATATTTTTTTTCGAATTGAACTTTTTCTATGTATGTATAACTAGGTAATAATTGCAATCTAGTTATTATTGACATGGCTACCGCAAAAACTACCCTAAAGACCTGAAAACCCAAAACTAATAATTATGCTAGTATCTTGGATCAGTTCTTAAAAAAATATAATTTGTCAGCTAACTCTACTCTAGAACAATTAAGCGAACATACTTCTGAACTTGGTGCACCACTTCCGAATTGGATGGCTCGTAAGTGCGTTAAAGTTGCTCTTGCTAAACGCAAATTTAGTGAAGAGCAAATAGGAGTTCTTGTGCCAGACAAAAGAAAGAAAAAGCTCACCATTGAAAAAAGAGCTCTCTATTGTGCCAAAACTGGTGATGAGTAAGATATTTATATCTATGCTCTCGATTTAGGTCCAAAAAGTAATGACGAAATCATTGCCTCCTGTTCGCGACTCTCTCTATTTCGTAATAAATTGGCAAAAGCTGGTATTGCTCAAGAACCTATTGATATTTATGCTAAACTTCCGGGTGTTACCACGGCTTCTAACAAAATTCAGAAAGAACGGACTGAACAAGATGTAGCCAATAATCAGTTAAAAATTCTACCACATTTCTCCTTAGAAAAAGGACTTAAAAGAATTCAAAACATTGATACTACCAAAGATCCCTTATTACAGGATCTCGCAGATGTAATAGTGATGTTGTGTATGAGACCTGCTGAAGTATCCAGCCTCCAGATTGATCACTACGAAGTTGACCCATCTAATCCTTCGGCATGGTATAAAAATGGTTATTCTTGGTATTGCACTGGATATGCTAAGAATAAAGGAGAAAATAAGGATAATCCAGAACCTCGCCCATTTCTATCAATGGAGAAGAACCCAGAACGTGCAAGAGCATTGCTTATCTGGATTCAAGAGGCTATAAAGGCCGGAAAGTTAAGTGATCCTACCTTTAGTAAAAATGGAAAGCGCAATACTAGGGCATTTAGCAAGTTTTTGAAGCCTTATAAAATCACGTCTAAAATATTAAGAAAAATAGGAGGAAAGCATGCCTGCAGAGTTCACGGTGGTCCAAACCCAACTCATCAGCATCTTGATCTTCTTAACAGAATAGCATTGAGGCATAAGATTGTTCGTCTAGATACGGGAAAGAATTATGCTATAGGCGATACAGAATCAGAAGACTCTGATCTCGAATCCGAATCTGACCAAGTGTCTAGCCCAATCTCTGGATTTCAGGCCTCATCATTCCAACCTAAAAACAATAATTCTAATCCCTTCAAATCTCAAATAGCAGAAATTGATTCAATGCTAGCTAGCTTCTAAAAAACTGCTATATTCTAAATCATGTCTTAGCTCTTTTGATAAAATAAATATATGAAGGCGTTTTTATTTTTTAGGTCAGATAAAGAAGTAGAACAGGTGCTCAAAGCAATGGCAATCTAGCTATCTTCGGCAAACCTTCACAATTTATTTTTTTTATCTAGTGGAGAAATCAGCTAAGATACGTGCGAGTGAAAATTTAGTAAATGAAATAAAAACGTCTTAGTCAGATAAAACAATACATTTGATATATAATGCATTCATACAACTCGCTCAATATTCAAGATATTTTTGAGAAATGGACAAAAAATAGTTATACCCAATACATGTTAACTGAATATGGTTTAAACTATATCAATAATCTAAAAACACCAGAAGCTTGGTTACGATTTGCAAAATATCATCCACCCAAATATATATGTGAACGTTTATTAATTCCTGGATATGAAATTAATAGAAAGAATCATTAAAAAAACTTTGTATTCCGTATAAAAAACAATCTAACTAGAAATGAATCCATAGCTAATAACTCTGAATTTAGAGAAGTTTTAATCCAAGTAGCATATTTTAAAACTTTATATATAAAAAATCGATCGGCTATTATTATCCAGCAAGTATATTGTTTATAGAAAAAATGAATAAATTCAGCTAAAATAATCTAACGCGCAGTAAGGAAATGGCTTTATCGACCAGGTGCCACATTAATGAAACATGCCTAAAATCGGTATTATCAAAATGCCAATAAACTTGAAAATTTGAGGTAACTGGGAAGACTTTTGCTAACCCCATATTAAAAATTTACTTGAGCAGTCGATCCAACTAGTCCAGGATACTGATCAGTAATTCGAAAGATTTTTTGCTTAGCCACATATACCACTAGTGTTTTATTTTTTTCTGATTGAAAATCTTCGAATCATATAAAATGTATACAGTAATTAATCTATCAACTTTTTTCCCGAAGGTTCTGGCATATTACACCTATTACAAATCTTTAAATTAGCTTTACGCAAGTCAATCTGATGCCTTTGACATTAGAATGAGACAAGAATAGAAATTACACCAGCGATTTACAGATCTGATTCTACGGGCACTATAGTATTATCCATTCTATATAATAAAATTCCATTATGGGTCATTGTAAGATTTTATAGGTATGAATTGAGGTTAAAAATGATATATAGTTATGTAAAAAACGAGTGCGATCCCTATACTAATTAATTCGTGAATGAACAGATCGCCAAATCATAAAATCATA